GAAAATCTCTCCAAAAAAAAAAAAAAAAGAAACAACTGTGTTTCTCAGACATCCCCAGTAACATTGCACCTCAGTTTCTCATATGGGTATCCTGTCCGAAATTCCAACTTTCCTGGGCTTCCCCCACCCCTGTCTCACTTCTCTTCTTTCCTGCTGGTGTTTCCAGGGAATCACTTTTCTGAAAAACTACCCACATGAAAACCCTATCTCAGGGCCTGTTTCAAAGGGAACCCAAGCTGAGACAGTGGCAAGATGTTTTGTGAACTGTGAGGAGCAGGGCTCATGAAAGGGATTGTCTCCCTACCACTCCCTCCTCCCAGGAGAAACCTCAGGCTTCTAAGTCACATTCCAGTCATTACTACCTAGGTCCTTCTGGTCCTTCTTTCCTTTCAAGTGACTCTCACTTCTCTTCTTAGGTGACTTTTAGAGAGAATGCAAATGACTCATCTGAGATCCTAAAGCCCAGATCTTCCTGATAATCCTGCTGGGCCTCTGGAGTGCAAAGTTCCTATCATACCTTTGCAGGATTTCTCTTTGCTGAGAGAAATCTGGAGACAGTGGGGTAGGACTGGGGTGAGAAAACTTATGTTCAAAAAGTCAGTCTCACAGTTAGTGGCAGGGATGGAATTCAGCCTTCTGTCTCATTTGCCATGTTGGCATTGCAGACAGTCCCTCTAAAGCCACAGATACACAGGCTCCTAATACAATGATCTAACTATTGAACTGTACTGCCCCTAAATTTTTGGAGTTGCCTCTTTAAAAACTGGGAGATGTTAGATTAAAACAAATTCCTTTGGGATTAGCAAGTGACCTGGTAGTTTAGGTGTTGGACTCCCACATGGCTGACCATGGTTCGAGTCCCAAATCTGGTGGGTTGAAAATCAGACTGGGTGCGTGTGCATGTATTCCCAAAATTCCAGGAGGAGAAGGGATTGCGGTGTGGCCATCCCTCATGAGGGAGTGATTTCTCACTTTCTCTTTTTTTGTCTCTCTCTGGTGACTGCACATTCCCTACAGCAAAAACCTCAAAAAATTCTATCTATCTATCTATCTATCCATCCATCCATCCATTCATCTATCTAAATCTATTTATATTTTTCTTCTGCACCCAGTTAAGAGGATACCTGTAGAATTTATTGTAGTAAAATATGGCTCAGACTCAAAATATATCAACCAATTGAATAGTTCATACTCTTTCCTACTTTAAAAAAGAAGGAAGGAAAGAAAAAGGGAATAATTAGAAGTATTTTACAGATATAAACAAATTCAATAACCTTGCTAGGATTCAATATATCCTAAAAAATAAATGAAAAGAAACACACACAAAGAAGCAAATATGAAATGTGAAAACATGACATTGTGAACATTTTTTCAGAGTGTCAGGATGGTCCCTGGAGTGATGGCCAAGGTCCACACTTAGGTGCCAGGAGAAGGCTTAACTCTCGGTGGCACATTCTCCAAAACTACCTGGATGTCATGAATTTGTTACCATTCCACATATCTAAATCTTCTTGAATCAAATTTACTTTAAAAATCCTCTGCTATCACTGATGCCCCTAACCAGTTTTATATTAGTGTAATACTACTGACTAGAGTTTTGCAAACTCTAGAAAGTCCACAGAAAAAAGTGGCCAGCTATATTTGGCTGGAATTTCCCAGCCCCAGCCAGCCAACTGGTTTTCTATAACCTAACAGTTTAGAATGGTTGTTACTTTTTTTTTTCTTTTTTAGTTTGCAAAAGGGTGCATGCACTTTCCAGAGAGAGACAGAGATCTAGAGAGAGGAAGAGGGACCACGTACCTCTTGGGATCTTGGGCATGTATGCACACATGCCTAGCATGAGTTTATTTCACTGGGTCCAGGACTTGAACCATGGTTGACCATGTGGGAGTCCAGAGACGTAATCATTCTGCCATCTGCTGGTCCCCCAAGATACAATTTTTTAAAAGATGTTTTTGCCTTAGAGTATGTGTGCTCACCAGAGAGAGAGAGAGAGAGAGAGAGAGACTGAGACATTGAGAGGGAAAGTGAGAAATTACCCCCCAGGAAGGATGGCTATGCCACAGTCTCTTCTCCTCTGTTCTCCTCCTGGAATCTTGGGCGCACAAGCACATATACCTGGCGTGATTTTCAAGCCACTGGGTCTGGGACTCGAGCTATATATAGTCGGCTATGTGGGAGTCCAGCAATATGACCATGATGCCATCTACTGGCCCCAGTAGGGAACTTTGCCACTTAGGTGTTGCACTCCCCATTTCAGTAACAATAAATAGTCATAATAGGACATTCTAAGGGTCCTCTTGACTTCCAGGCACTGCTTAGCTGGCCCTGATACTTGGGCCATGTAAGTTGAGGGTAGAGCAGAATTGTCACAGAGAAGGGAAGAGCCAGTGAGCCTGGGCTGCATAGGGAAAGGGCCTGAGAGAGAAAAGTACTGGTAGGGCATAAGAAGGGATCCTTTAGGAGAGAAATGGGAGAGATTTAACCGCCTTCTGCAACATCTTCAGCAGAGTTTCCATCATGCACTTGGACTTTTGTGCAAGTGGGTATTTTGTGTGTGGAGCCTGAAGACATGCAAATTCTGTACTGTGGAGGGAGAGATGGCATGAAGAGTGTAAACCTACTTATATAAAGGCTCAAGTGAGCAAACTGAGGGCCAGAAAGTTGGAGTTGCTTGTTTAATGTCTACAGCATATTGATGAAGTGAAAGTCAAAACAGGGAAGTGGATCTTGACCTTGCAACCACCACTGTTAGGGCTTGGGAGCAGGAGGGTGAGGTGGGCACAGAAGGGAAAAGCAAAAAAGGCAGATGGTGACTTTTACAAAGCAGGTGGAGGAGGACATCACTGTATCAGTCATAGACTGTTCTAGGTCAGAGTCCTGGCCCTGCCTATAAGTGCTGTGTGAGCTCATATGGGACCACATGGAGGCCTGGGATGCCATGGGATGTGGGTAGAAGAGTGTGTGGTGAAGTCAAATGTACCCCCAAACTCTAACCTCATCTGGGCCTGGACCCCCTGCCCCCACTTTGTGAGGGGGCATTCCAGGCTACTGCCCCAAGGAAGGCCTAGTAGGGAGTGTTTGATGGTGAGGGCTGGAGTGCTGAGGAGGAAGAGATGAGGGCCAGATCATCCACAAAGGGATGGGGAGCCCTTTGTCTACTCACAAGACGTGAAGTTCTTATATCCCGGGTTCACGGTGCACAGAAACTCTTTCTCAAGCCTTTCTGCACTGGGAAGAGGTGGCCAGTCTGTGATAAGAGGAAGAAGCAAGGGTGTAGCTGAGGTTTTCAGCCTGAGTGACTCAAAATGCAGAGAATATAATGAAGGAAGTCAAGAGAGGGAAGTGACTGAGGCTGAGGAATGAGTCTAGCCTTTTCTTGGGGCCTGTCTAGAGAAAAGAGTCCCTATAAATTCTGGACCATTCTGATCCCAAAGATCTTCAGAGCCCACCAAGATCACGAGCTGAGCTCCACCTGGGCAAGGACATGCCACACAGGGCACCCAGCTGGGTAAGACTCAAGACACACAAGGGTTTCTATTTCCCCATATGTCAGATGGGGAAGGGTTCAACCTCAGCACTGAAAGGTTTCTGGAAGATCATTTCTAGGCCAACTGCTCTTGCCATTCATCCTAGCTCTTCCATCCTTCCTCTGCAGTTCTCCTACCCCTGGTCCCCATGCAGGTTCAAGCTCACCCTGGTGAAGATCTACTGGCTGACTCATGGCCCCACCCAGGGCTCTCAGCCTCACCTTTCAGGCTGGGTCCAGAGGTGTCTGGAAGCCATCTCACAAGCCTTCTATTTGAGTCTTCAGGGTGCTCTAGGGACCCAGAGCCCAAGGAGTTCAGCACGTCTGTGGAAGTGGGCCTGCTGGGAGACTCCAGGTTGGGTGTACTCGGGGAGTAGAGCACTGAAGGAGAGTGGGCTACAGGAAGGAGATGCAGAGCTTAGGGAGTTCTCAGATGTGAGGGGCAGGAGTCTGGGCTCTGAGTCCAGTTTCCTTATGTTAAGCAGGTGTTCTGTCTCCATCAAGAGAGGGCAGGAGAGACCACTGACCCACTGTGGCTGTCCAAAACCTCCTCCACAATCTCATCCCAAGACACTGCTGGGCAGGAAATTCTGAACTGGGATCCAGGAAATGTGCATGTCTTTCCTGGTTCTGACAGCCTCCCTGTGTAGGACACTGCTCCTCTCAGAGCCTCAACTCTCCCATATGGAGCTATGGAGTTCCTGCCTCCAGGGCTGCTAAGAGCAACAGTGACAGCTCTTACTTATTGAGCACTTACTGTAGAGGCCACTCTGGGCTAACCATTCACACAACGATCTCTTTTAACTCTCACACAGCCCAAGGGAGTGGGCTCTCACCCTCCCATTTCTCCCATGGAGAAATAGAGGCTAAGAATGGTGAAGTCACTTTGTGATATGTAGTGCCAGGATTATTACTGGCCTCTGCTTGATTCCCAAGTCTGAGCTTGTAACTCCAATGTCAGGCAAGTACTCTGCTTGGGGGCTTGGAACCCTTGCCCACTCTTCCCAGTGCCTTTCCCCTCTTTGATCTGGATGCTGTGGTGACCACATGGAGTCCTGGGATGCCATGGGATGTGAATAGTGTGGGGCTCTGGTCCAGCATGCCCCCAAACTCTAGCTTTGTCTGGGCCTGGATCCCATATTTCCCAGGACCTCCCAAGCCACTGCCCCAAGGGAGGCCAATGGGGAGGGTTCGATGGGAAGGGCCAGAGTGGCAAGAGGAAGGAATGAGGGCCTGGATATCCTCTGGGAGGTGGTGGTGGTGGGGTCCTTTGTCTACTCACCCGATGTCGAGGCCACTTCTCTCTGGGCCTGGGGGCACAGAAGCTTCAGGCCCATCTGCTCCCAGGTGTGCAAGGCCAAGTTCCAGGCCCGTTCTTCTCCATACTCAGCCACCAGACATGAGGCCACCTCCATGCCACTTGCCTTCTCTGACTGAGCTGGTGTTGCACTGGAAGAGCCCCCAGTTTTGCAGGGCAGCCGGAGCTGGAATTCCTTCAGCTCCTCTCTCTTCAGCAGCTCCAAGTAATAGGCCAGTCGCCCCTGGGCTCCGCCAGCCATCTCTGTGCTGAGAACTAGGTGTGGTTTGGGGTGGTGGGAGTGAGGACCTTCAGGCAGGCAAAGAACAGCAGTCTTCCCTACCGTCCCCATGAGAAGACTCTCACTGAAATCATGTCTCTTGGTCTGGTAAACTCCTATTCAGCACTTGGAACCCAGTTTTGTAAACCCCAGGGCATCTGCCATTCGAGGTATTAGGAGGAGGAAATAGAGGGGGTGTGATAGGAAAAGCCAAAGGCAGAACAAACCCAGAGAAGACTGGTATACACTGGAAGAAGTAAGGTTATTTGAGGGTGCTAGCTGGGTTCCAGGGTCAGGCAAGGAGAGTAACAACGGATAGGTGGATGGGAGTGTAGCAGAATGGGGGTGAGTGACACTTACTGTTCTGTGTTCCTTGGCTTCTTTCTTCTCTTGGGTCCTGGACTTCTAGGATCAAGCCTTTAGTTGCAACGCTGACTGGAGGTAGAGTGGGGTGTGTGTGTTTGGTAGTATTTTGAGGGGATGGTAGAAGAGCAGGCACAGCAAGGTGTAGGTTTTCAAGGTCTAGAAGTAAGCTTGGGGCTGCCCATCTCTGAATCTCTTCCCACTGCTCCTGGTTCTGGGACACCACCCAGGTTAAACAGGCTTTAATTGGCCAAAGCAATAAGTAAAAGTCACCCAGAGGAAACCAATAGCAGGGTGTGACCAGGGAAGAGGAAGAGAGGGGTGGGACTAGGACAAGCTTGCGCAGAGCAGTGGCTTAGAGCCAGATATCCAGCCATGTCAACACACAGGCCAGACAGGTGATGCTGCATCAGGCACAGATGTATACGACAGGTAGGTTCATGTGTCTTCACATGGCACTCATTAGCCCATTATCCAGATCGTTTCTGCAGAGCAGAGACTTTTCAGGCAGAGAGTGTGGGGCCCTGTGCCATGCTCCCAGGGAGGGTGAGGTTCCTGTGTATGCAAGGGCAGAACCTTATTGGAGTGTCTAAGTCCCAGGGGGGCTGTTGTTTTCATGGGCAGCCCAGCACTTGGCCAGTCAAAATTCTCACCTTAAAGCAGAACAGTTCTGCTTTGCCAACCAATAGCCAGGCCTTCTAGGTGGGGAGGAGGGTGCGAGCTAGGCAAAGACTTTCTTTCTATTTTGTGAATCAGCAGACACTGGGGACTCAACAATGAGGAATGACATTACTCAACTCATTGGTTATTGTGTAACAACCCACCAGAAGTTTTCTTGAGATCCTTCAGTACATCAGTACATCTTTTTAAATTCATGGTCAGTAGGATTTGGAGGGAAGGAATATGAGATTTAGAGTCAGAAGTGCTGTTATACTTGTAGTGGTTTTGTAGTCCTGGACCCTCTGCTACATCCTACCTAACATGTAATTCTATGCTTCTTTTTCCTATTAATATGCTGGTCAATTTATTCAATACATTAAAAATCATTGAATCTTTGCAAAGGAAGGAGAAAATGAACAATTTCCCTACCCTCTGCCCCTTGTTTACTGAGACCTTGGACAATTCTGCTTTTCTGCATTTTGTCTTTAAATTAAGGGAAAGACAGTCAAGTCCCAAAGTATGAATATGCCTGGTGTAGGACCTGAGATGTAGCAGAGGGTAAATACACACAGTTACCCCTTCCCTTATCTCCTCATATATCAGGTCCCTTGAAAGCAGGTAGTCCTTCTCAACTTGCTTCTGTCTAGAAAAGTAGCTTGATGCTTTGCACAACATTGGTCTTCTGAGTATATATCTGATGGAGGAGTCCCTTCTTTATCTTTGGTTCCATGGTCCATGGTTTCAGTTACCCATGGTCTAAAAAATGTAATAAATAAATAAATAAATGTATTAAATGAAAAGTTCCATAAATAGATAACTCATAAATTTTAAATTGTATGCCATTCTGAGTAGCATAATAGAATCTCACATGCCTGGCACATGAATCATTCCTTTGCCCAGTGTTTCATGCTGTTGGTGTGACATGTCTGTTCAACACTTATAAGTTGGAAAAAAAACAGAATACATTTAGGGTTTGATACTGTCTGTGGTGTCAGGCTTCTACTGAGGATTTTGGAACATACACACCGCAGATAAGGGAGCTCTACTGTCATTTAAATAGTACTTGTAATTGTAATTTCACAAATAACGCATAAATACAGTTTTATTGTTAAAACTTCAGACAATACAGACATTGCTCCTCCTCCCTGTCCAGTCTTAGGCCCCTCTACAAATATTGCTGTTGTCTCCAGTACACTGTGTCCTTACACACGAGCACATGCACACACACACACACACACACACACACACACACACACACTCTCTCTCTCTCTTTCAAACTACCCTTCTAAATGACACCCCCACACACTGGCCAGTGTGTTGTAGCAGAGGCCCAGTTTGCTCATGCCAGTCTCTTACATGGGGAAAGGAGCCTTGCTGTTGTTTCGGGTGAATTTCCCGGAGGAGAGAGGTAGAGCACTTCTGCACCAGATGCTGTGGGGCCCTGAACTGTGTTCCCAGACCTTCTTCTGCTCTAGCTATGTGCAGTCCCCTCTGCCTCATTCAGTTTCTTGACTTTAAAAGCTCTCCAAGGGCTGACGACTCTCACATTTATATCTCCTGCCCCATCATTCCTCTGAACTCCAGACCCAGTATCCAACGACCTCCCCAACCTCTCCCCTTGGGCTTGTCATGCCATCTCCCTTTGAACACCCCAGATCTGACGTCCTGATCCCATTACCTTCCTCCTACCCTTCAGCCTGCTTTGCCCCCATCCTGCTTCTTCATTTCAGCAAATGACTGCCTAGACCCAAGACATTGGGTCATCTTTGACTTCTCTCAACCTCACATCCACTCTGTCAGAAAGTCCTGTGGACACTGTCTTCTAAAGAGATCTGGAACCAGACTCTTTTCACCACATCCTCTGATGCCATCCTGGTCGCATTCACCACCCTCTTACCAGATCACTACAGCATCCTCCTCACTTCCCTCTGATGCTGGCATTGCCCCTTTATAGTCTACTCTCTGTTCAGTGGCCGCCGTGATCCATCTAAAACAAACTAGGTCAGGTCTCTTCCTTGTGCATACCCTTCCAAATACTCCCCATCTTGCTCAAGTGAAAACCAAGTCCTGGGCCAGTTGGTAACATGGTGGTTGAAGCAGCTGGATTTCACATGGCTGACTGTGCAGTTTGAATCTGGACCCAGTGGCTTGAAAAACACACTGAGAGCATATGCATGTATGCCCAAAATCTCAAGATGAGAATGGATGAGGAGGGATTTTGATTTGGCCATTCCCTCTGAATGTTTTGGGCACATGCACATTTGCCAGGTGTGTTTTTCAAGCTGTTGGGTCCAGAACTAGGACCTTGGAATCAGCCATGTGGGATCCAGTGCATTAGCCACCATGCTACCAGCTGGCCCAAAGCTTGATATTTATTGATATTTTTTCCAAAAATATACCTGATTGTCCTAAAATAATTTACTGGCTAGTACTGATTTTATCTGAAGATTTTAAATGGTCTTCTGTTTATGCACTAATATGACAAAGTTTCAAATGCTATAGCTTCAAAGTAGGCTCTAATTTTTATTCACTCAATCTCCGCTTTGTTCTCTATTATTTTATGAAATTGCCTTTGCTATTCATAACATTTACTTCCATATAAATTTTATAATCATCTTGCCAAGTCACATTAATCTCAGATTTTTAAAATAAAAATCCCACTGGTATTTTTTATGGGAATTGCATTAAATTCATAAGCTAATTGAGAGAAATTAACCTAGAGAATGACATTTTACAGTCTTGACCTTGTATAGATGAGTCCTCCCATCCATAAATGTGGTATTCTCTAACATCATTATTTTCAGTTATCTACTTAAATGAATTTGTCCCTCTCCTTGTAGATTAATTCTTTCCATTTCCTGAGAACATAATTCTTCCAAAGTTTTGGGGTAGTGATCTCCAAGTTATTTTATGTATCCCTATGAGTAAAATTTGTGAGCATGAAAAGTATACAAACTACTTACATGTGGCATTATATTAACATGTACTTGATAACATTTACAAAGACTTTTTGTTTGCTATAGGGCAGGTGTACTCAATAAAGAAGGGGAGGGAGAGAGAAAGGGGGACATCATCCCCAGGGGCTATGGCTATGCCCACAATCCCTTCTCTTCCATGCTCTTGGGACTTTGAGCACGCACGCACACATGCCTGACATGTTTTTCAAGTAGCCAGGTCTGGGACTCAAACTACACATACAGAGAGAGAGAGGGAAAGTGAGAAAGTAAGCTACCAGGTCTGGAGGTTGAACCATGGTTGGCGATGTGGGAGTCAGCACCTCATCCACCATGCCTCCTACTGGCCCCGATTTTCTTTAAAAGGCTATCATAGGGACCAGCAGTTGGCATAATGGCTGTGTCGCTGGACTCCCATGCAGTCGACCGTGGTTTGAGTCCCGGACCCAGTGGCTTTTATTTCCCCCACGGGGGGGGGGGGGTGTGCCCAAGATCCTGAGAAGAGAATGGAGGAGAAGGGATTGGGGTATGGCCATCCCCCCTGGGGGGATGATTTCTTGCTTTCTGTCTCTCTGCTTCTCTGCCTTTCTGGTAAGCACATGTGCCCTATAGCAGAAACCTCTTCAAACAAACAAAAAAATGCTATCATAAACTATCGAGTCAGGAGAATTTGAAACAATGCCTACATCTGTGATGTGGCACTTTTAGAAGAAGTCACCAGACTTTTCTTCTTTGCAAAGAAGAGGGTGCCTGTGTCTGGGGAAGTAAGTAAAAAATAAACTGAATGTGGGGACCAGCAGATGGCGTAATGGCTACATGGATGGACTCCCATGTAGTCGACCGCGATTCACATCCCGGACCCGGTGGCTTAAAACTCACGCCGGGCGCGTGTGTGTGTGTGTGCCCAAGATCCCGAGAGGAGAATGGAGGAGAAGGGATTGCAGCGTGGCCATCCCCACTGGGGGGTGATTTCTCGCTTTCTATCTCTCTGTCTGTCTCTGTCTGTCTGATTTTATAAATAATTTTTTAGAATTACTGACATAACTAAATCTTGAGAATAGACTAAAGTGGGGTATAAAAAAAGTTAAATCCAGTCATTTCCAACCTTACTAGGAAATCAACAGACAGTGTCTAAAATGCACAAATCAAGAGCGAGAAGTGCAAGAGACTTAGAGATAAGGACCAGAAGTTTCCGCTGAAAAGCCTGCTCCCAGAAGGAACCAGGTCCAAGGAGCAGGCTCAGGAGTGTGGAAACAGATGCAAAACAGTCATGGATCATACACTTCATCACCATTTCATTTCATTTGGTGCTATTTGAATTGTAGACCATGTGTGTAATCCAAAATTTTATAACCATTTTTAAGAGGTGGAAAGAACTAGCTTTCTGTTTTACGGTGGAACCAAAGAGAACATCAGCTGTTCCCATGTTGAGAGAGGTGGTTACATTAATGGTAGTTTGAGGATTTCAACTGGGTGTCAAAGAAGGATATATTTGGGGTTCAGACAAGAAAGGCTCTCACTCAGGTGTTTAGAGGAGCAATTGAAGGCAAGGACCTGATCAGTTGACTGTGAAAATTAGCCAGAACTGGAAGACTAATTCCTGTTAGAATCTAGTCTTTTTTTTTTT